GCACTGGTAGACGCGGGGCTGTGCGCACCTGACGCCCTCCCTCACCAAACCTAAAGTGCCTCTCGCATTCTGGCACCTGCGGGCCTCTGCACAGCTCTTAGCACCACACAGAGTGCCAACGCCACCTCTGAGCCAGCTGAAATGAGACCCGCCTGCCCACGCCCCCTCCCCACCCCCCTCTCTCCACGCCCCCAGGACACTAGCCTGGTCTCCCCAGCAGTCCCATTCCCGTCTCAGGGTTCCTGGAGGGAAAAGGTGGACCAGTGACACGGATCCTGGAGCCCAGTCTCAACTCTGCCGTAGGAAACAGCTCCCCTTCCCACCTCCGACCTCCTCCCAGGACTGAGAAGGGAGAGGAACGGAACGAGAATGAGGGCTGTGGATGGAAAGGCTTCGGGGATCAGGACACCCCAGAACTGTAAGGCCAACCCAGGAATAATTCTCAAAAGCAACATTAGCAAAATGAAGGTTTCCGTCCCCAAAGCCGGCAGGGCCGGCCCGGGGTTACATGAAGCACGTGGCAGCTGCCAGGACCTGCTGGGCGAGTCGATGGAGACTCTGCCTTGAGGCCTCGGTGGGTGAAGGCTGCCTGCTTCAGCGGGCTCTTCCTGAAGGCGCAGGCTTAGCGCTCATTCTCGCCAAAATGGCACACGCGGATCCAACCACGACTGAGTAAGTAAGTAAAATGTGATGGCTCCACACGGCAGAATGTGATTCAGCCATGAAAAAGCCATGGAGCGCTAACACCCGCTACGAGGGACGAAGCTTGAAAACGTCACGCTGAGCGAAAGCAGCCAGATGCAAAAGGCCACGCAGCGTGCGGCCCCACTCATGTCAAGTGTCCAGATGTAGAGACGGGAGGCAGACAGGGCCAAGGAGAACCGACGGGGAGCAACTGCTGACGGGCCCAGGGCTGCCTCCTGGGACGGTGAGAACGTTCTGGAACTAGCAGAGGCGGTGGTTGCATTGCACAGGTTTTAGGAGCGTCCTGAATGCCCCTGGCCTGCTCGCTTCCACACGGCTAAGCTCACGCTGCGTGTGCACACGGGGGAGGCAGAGAGCACCACCCCCAGGGCTGAGTGTCCCAGGAATGGGACGGGGGACCAAGGGACTGGGGGACCTAGAGACCAGGCCTCCGGACGGGTCCCCTGATGGCTGCTGCCTTCGCTTCGGCCCAGACCCAACGGAGGAGAACAGCAAACCGAAACCCCAAACGGCCGCCAGGTAGCAAGCACCTGGCACCCTTTTCCCCATCAATGTCCCTGTGTAAAAATGCAGGCTGGTGTAGGAAAAAAAGACAACAAAAAACTCATTATGCAAATCTGAAAACGGGAGGCAGAAAAAGCCTTAGGGCCGAAGATGTGCCCCAACCCCGCATCCCAGCCCCAGGGCAGCTTCCGGCTGGCCGGCTCAAAGCAAAGGGGAAACGGCTCCGGGCCGGAAACGGGGCCTCGAAGGAGTGAAGACAGAGGCCCCAAGGGTCAAACTGCCTTCTCGTTTAACACACCAAGACCACGTGGCAGAGCCAGGAGACGGTCAGCGATGGGGCCCGAGCTCACCACGGCCCCGGGACAGAGCCGCGCCTGCCATCAAGCAGCCCTCGGATGGCGGTTATGTAAGCCAGGGCTCCTGTTCCGTGCGTCTGGCATGGGCTTTCTGTCCCTCTCAGCCAGCAGATAGCAGACACACAAAGGGGCTTTCAGGAACGGTCCCTCACAGAGCTAGGTGAATCCCACAGGAAGCCTCTGATGCCACAGGACTGCAGAGGCACAAGGCAGGGAAGCGTTAGGAAACAAAACATTTCTATATAAAAAAGGAACACAGCCAGGGAGGGAGGAAGACCGTTTAAAAAAAAAAAAAAAAATCCCATCGAATTCCTGTCTCATGCATCCAGCTGCATTCCACAGAGCAGACGCAAACATCGGACCGCTCTGGGAGCCGTCGCTCCCCGGCCTCTTCCGCTGCTGACAGACAATGTGCTCACACTCTCCAAATGCTCTTCACCAGCCCACAGCAACTGCAGGAGTGGGTCCAGCCAGGCCCGCACAGGGCCCATCCCCGGGGTCCCGGAGAACAGAGACGCAGACAGACAGAAACAGAGAGGAACAGGCATGGACGTACGCACGGACCCGGGCAGAGGCAGACACGCAGACACAGAGAGGAACAGAGACAGAGAAAAGCGGACACAGAGACAGACAAACAGAACAAGCGGAGTACGAAAGACTTAAGCAGAGAGGCGCAGACGTAGACACACACACACACACACACACACACACACACACACACACACACAGAAGCAGAGACAAAGAGATACGGACAGACAGACAGAGACGTGGGGGGGAGGGAGCCCCCCAGGGAGCCACGAGGAGGAGAGGGACGAGCAGCCGATTCAGAGCCATGTGACACGGACCTTCGCAAGAACCCACAGGCCCGAGGGCTCTGGCCCATGTTCTGGAGAGCTAGCCTGGTTGTCTGGGCAGAACCGGACTTGAGAGCAGGGCATGACCCACTCAGGGATCCAGTGCCCAGGGCAAGGAGGAACCCTCGCTGGCTTGGCCCTGTGGACCCTTCACACATCCCGCACCCCCATCTGTCCAGGCCCCACTTCAGGGCCCCTCCCCGGCAGCTGGGCAGTCAAGGCCACAGGGACGAGGAAGGAGACTCGGGTGCTAAGGGCAGGAGGGTGAATGGGGAGCGGGGCCCCACCAGGGAGACCAGAGGCCAAGCCTGCGACAGGACAGCCCTGCGGGCAGGGCCGGCTGCGGGCTGGGCGGCCTGGGCTTCGGCGCCCACTCCCGACTTCCCCGCGGCCGCAGGCAGGTGGCTTCTGCTCACGGGGCCTGGGACCCCGTCTACAAAAGGGGAAGGAGGCAGGTTGCACTTCTGGGGCGGAGAAGATGCTCGCGCCTGGCACATGGCCCGTGTCACCGTGAACCTGTCGCCACCGTCACTCCCTTTCCTGCTCACTCCCGAACGAAGGGCCCAGCTCCGCCTAAAACCCCACCACTCGACCCCCTCTGGCGCCGGGCGGAGACGAGGACCCGGCGGGCCTGCGTGGGCCACTTCTGTCCGCCTGCCTGGCTCCCCGTCCCCACCCCACCCCCCCAAAGCCGCAGCGGGATGAACAGCAACGCGCTGGCAGCTGGGAGGCCGCTCACGAGCTAATGTGTCCTCGCGGCTGTGACGAAGCCCGTGGGACAGCTCAGCACGCGTGGAAGGGACATCCGTCACACGGCCACCAAGGACAAGCACGCCCGCTGGCCACAGTCCCCGCCCCAGCCCAGGCAGAACCATGAAATCACGGCTTCGAGGCAGCAGGGCCACCCGCAGGGACAGAAGCCCCTGGGCCGCTGGCTGTGACTCGGCTGTGGGCGCCGCAGTCGGCCCCTCTGAGCGAAGTCCCCAAACAAGCTTCCGGGCTGAAAGCCGTGAGCTCGGCTGGCAGAGCGGGACCCACCACAGCCGCAGCCCGACGCCCGGTCTGCACACATCTGTGCTCCTCCCACCTCTGCGTGCTTTCCGTTCCGCAAGCAAGTGACAAAAGAGCCCCCAGGACACGCGGGGGCGGGGGGGGATGGTGGCCCCCACAGCCAGGACACACGCAGTGGGGGCGGCCCCGCTCCAGCCGGGCCATGCCCCCCAGAACCACCTCAGCCTCCTCCTCCCTGAGCTGCCCGCCTCCCAGCGCCCTGTGCTCGGACCCCCGCCAGCCTTCGCCCAAGCGGTCCCTCCCGCCTCCCCGGTACCTCGCACACAGCCCGCAGCAGTGGAGCGCCCGGCTGGGGCCCAGGCCTTACCTTGGACAGGTCCTCGGAGCCCCCGGGCTGGCCGGTGGCCAGCAGCGGGGAGGGCCGCAAGAGGGGGTCGGGCAGCAGCTCCAAGCGAGGGCGCTTGCTCTCGATGAACTCCATCTCCGACTTGCCCAGCTCCGGCAGGTACGAGTGGGACTCAGTTCGCAGGTGAAGCTCCTGGGACCTGCAGGAACCAAGGGCACACGGCGTCACGCCCACTGCACGCCGCTGAGCACCTACCGAGCACCGGGCCCTCCCCGACCTTGCGAGGCAAGTGCCCGCCTGTCCAAGGGCACGCGGGACTCGGACAGACTTGTCTTCCTTGCGGTCGACGTTCGCTCGCTGTGTTTAGCAGAAGCGGGTGCCCCATGACTCCGCACGGCCTCGCCCGAGTGTGGCCCAAGGACCAGCAGGACCAGCCCCGCCTGGAGCCACGAGCGACGCAGAGGCCTGATCCCACCCCAAACCTGAGTCACACTCTGCACTTACACAAGATCTCCAGGTGATCCGTGGGTACAACAATTGCGTCTGAGAAGCACCGTGGACCTAACACAGATGACAACACACATGGTGCCATCTGCACATCACCCACCCAGGGCTGACAGCGCCAGCCGACGACAGCGCTCTAGCTGCTCGGCGTGGCCTTGTCTCTGCAGCTCAGCCCGGCTGCCTGGAGCGGCGCTGAGGGCTGTCCAGCCTCATCGCTCCTGCCTGGCTCCCCTTCCTCCTCCCTGCCAGTCTGTGGAGGAGGAAGCTGGCACAGAGATGTCACGGCCTTGCCTGAGCACGCACAGCACAGCAGAGCCAAGACGCCCAGCCTCCGCCGCCAGCCACAGCCCGAACACCGCCTCTGCCAATGCTCACTCCAATCAGCACGGCATGGGGTCCGGACTCACGCCCCTCACGGCCGGGCCCCGCCCTGTCTGGCCCTTGCCCACCTGGCCCCCGCTTTCCTGCCTCAGGGCCCTGCGCTTGCCAGGCACCTACCTGCCTGGCACTCACACGCCGGCTCCCTCCACGCCGCCCCTTCTCCCGAATGTCTCCGCACACAGGGCATCCCCCCTCAGCAGCAGTCTCCCCGCCCGCCTCTGAAGCGTCCACCCACTCAAGTGCACCTGCTCCTCCTGGAAGACTGCCGCCCTGGCCCTTGGAGGTGGCCTCCCTGCGTGGGATACCTCCGGGGTACGTGCGCCGCACAGGGCTCCGGCCAGGCCTCTGGAGTTCTGTCCCATGACAAACGCAGGTATCCGTCAACCTTGCAGCCTCCGCAAGGTGACAGGAGCAGCTGATGGGCCAGCCCGGCCCTGGTGGTGCCCCAGCCCCTACACACAGCCTGAAGGACCTTAGAGGAGGAGTGACATCCTGTGCCTCTGAAGCGCAAAACCGCCCCACGGTCCCTGTGAAGCTCGCCCTCCCGCCCCCAGCGGCTGCTCACCCTGGTCCCGGGCTCCGGGCCCCCCTGACACACTCCACGCACACTCCCGGCCCCCGGCCTTTGCACGCGCTGCTCTCGCTGCCTGGAAGCCTTAACCTGCTCTCTGAATGGCCGGCTCTGAAGCAAGCAGGAGTCCCTCCTCTGAAGAGGCCTTTCCTGGCCACCCCAGCGAAGCGGCTGCTGCCACATTCTGGAGTCACCCCGTGTGTGTGTGGCACGTGGGCTCCCTGCAGGCAAGGCCGTCTGTCCCGACGCCCACAGCCCAGAACGGCCAGCGCGGGTCAGACGCCGAGGACCGTAAGCAGCCTGTGCTATCACTGCCTCGGGCGTCGTGGGGCCCTGCTCCGGCCTCGGCCCTCCCTGGGGTCGGGCAGCGGCGGTGCCCACACCGCCACACTGGCTCACTCCCCACACCCGGATTACGCGAAGCTAGGCTGGCCCTGCAGTGAGCAGACACCAGAGGGCCTCGTCCACCGGCCAGGGGATGGGAAGGGACCCAGAGAACAGGAGGAGGACAAAGCGGAGGAAGGAGGGGGCTCCCCGCGTGTACCCAGGTGTGGACACGCCCCACCCAACCAGTGACCCAGCCCCGCTGTCCCCCTTCCCCCCACATCTTGCTGGTCACTCTCTCCTGCCTGGGCCGCACACCCAGAGACCACATGGCTCTTCCCTGCCCACCCCCTTCCCCGCCCCAAGCCCCAGGGCAAACACACAGCCGGACACCCCTCGTTCAACAGCAGCCCAGGCAAGCTCCTGCTCCTGCATGCTCCCCCTCCCCGCCCCCCCGAGAAGCGGCTCTGTGGCCCTGAGCCTCACCTTTCGCTTCCAGGCTGAAACTCGGACAGCAGGGAGGGCCTCCTCCTCTGGGGCTGGATGATGGAGCCAGGCGACAGGTGCGAGCTGTAGTCCCGCGGATGGTGCTGGTACTCGAGCAGGCCAACGTCCTGCAGCCAGAGGACAGGGCAGGTGGGTGCGACGCTGTGGCTCGGCCGGCTTTATACTCGGAGGCAGAGTGAGGGGTCCTCCGCCCAGGGCCCACCCACGTCCTCGCCCACGTCCTCGCCCACGTCCTCGCCTGGCCCCGAGGCCCGCAGGCATCCATGGGGCCCCTTGCCCGTGAGAAGGGGCGCATACAGCGCTGTGCTTGCGCCTGCACACGCGGCCTCGCTCGGCCTGCAGCGAGCGCTCTGCGATTCTGCCCACTTCCCAGACGAGACGACGAGCCTGCCTGTCGGCAGAGACGACTGGGAAAATGCGCGGCCTCACGCCTGGCCAGGGTGCCCAGCGAGGCCCGGGCCTCGCACACCAGGGGAGGGTCTGTGGGGCTCAGAGACCAGGCCGCGAAGCGAAGGACAAGCCCACCCACAGATGTAAAGTAAGCACAGACCAAAGTCAGAATGAGCTTTGGCCAAAATCCTCCTCCCTTTAGTAAAATGCCGTCCGTTCCCCAGCATCACCCAGAGGAAAAGTAAACGTTAACAAGTTAGGTGGACCCCGATTGCCAACACGCCCTGATCTGAGAAACATTCAAATGCGAGATAGAAAAGATAGAAAACAAGTCTTTCAAAGGAGAGAACTGGACAGGCTTTATTCGTGCACCGATCCAAATCGATTAGTTCTGTCTGCCTAGAGCAGCCAGTTACACCCTGTGTGGCCATCGGTTAGCGATGTCTGACACGAGTCCGGCTCAGGGCAGAGTGGGATGGCGTGGGATTTATTTTCTTCTCGGCACCTGTCCTAAAATTCTCCCAATTTTCCATGAAAACTACAGTCATTCTTTGTCTGCCCGGCCTAATCTTTTTTAAATAGTTATTTCTCTGAAGAGAACCGGTTGACGCCAGGTAGGCATGTAGAAAATGTGTGTGTTTCAGACCCTCCAGAACCGTGTGTAAGATGGGAGGCCGGCGGCCAGCGAGGGTGACACCATCACCCGGACACCATCACCCTCCACGGCAGAAACGGGGAGGCGAGGCCTTCCTGGGCAGCCCCGTGTGGAACCAGAGCCGCGAGGCCTCCGGCCAGAGGTGCATCATTCACACCCTCTGAGCCTCCGCGTCCTCATCTTTGAAACGGGTGACTGACCCAGATGGGGGGAGGCCTCTGTGCCTCCTACCTCTCGGCCCCCTTAATTCTCCCAGGGATGTACCCCAAGGCTGAGGGCAGCTCCCAGAAGGCAGAGCAGGGCTCGGCCACCCCCGCCCCCGAACACCACGACGTCTAGCCCAAAGCACCAGGTGCTCACAAACGGGGTGGGGGAGAAGGAAGAAGAAAGGGCTGGAGGCGGGAAGCGAGGGCCGCCGGGATCACTCTGGCAAGGCCGCTGGACAGAGACCCCGCGTGTGCACGGACAGAAACCCCGCGTGTGCACGCACAGAGGCGGGCGTCGCCAGGCCCTGCGGTCTGCCGGGGGCGTTTCTCCCATCTGCCCTTGCACACAATAGCAAAATGAGCCAAGTGGCAGAGAGACAGACAGTCTAGTCCCTCGGGAGAGGGTCTCAGCAGGACGGCGCCTACCCCTGCCAACTGAGGCAGAGGGAAGCCCGTGACACGTGGGGCCCCCGTGGCGTGGGCATGGACGGCCCACTGCATAAACTCTCTGACCTCAGCTTCCCAGTTCAGAAGCCAAGTGGGACGAGCTCGTCAGCAAAGTTCCTCTAAGAAGCATCTGAGGGGCCACTCCTGCCGTGTACACACTAACCTCCGCCCTTAGGCCTGCTGGCCTCGGCCTCGAGCACCCCACCCCGCCCCCCGCATCTGCAAACACAGTCACATGCAGTAGGACCATGGATCGATTTGTGACAAAGTGGAAATTAAGCAGACTGGCCCTTCCCCCAGAGAGTTTGATAAGCACTGACCTAGGGCAGGAGTCAGCAGCCCAAGGCCACAGCCTGGCTCAGCCCGTTTCGTCACTTGTCACTGGCTCGCGGCCACGGCCATGGCTTTACGTCTTGGCTGAGCCACTTTCACGAGACAACAGCAGTGGTGCCAAGGAGTTGTGACAGCGACCCTCCCTCTAGAGGAAAAGCCCACAGTGTGCCCTGAGGACAGGGTGGAAAGCACACGGCTGCACTGTCGTCACAGCGAGTGGTGTCATCCGAGTCACCGCTGTCCCACTGCAACGGCACGTACTACCTCTCCAGGCATCGGGCAAAGGCCTCTGCACACGCCGGCTAATTCAATCCTCCCGATCCCATAACCACCCTCGGTCAGCAGCGGGGGAACTGAGGCACAGGGCCATGGGGCCCCTCGTCCAAAGTCTCCTGGGACCTCTGCGGCCGGGCGTGAGCATAGCCGTCCGACTCCAGAGCCCGTGCCCTGAACGGCCCATCCACAGGGAGGCACAGAGAGGTCACCTAACGTGCCGAGACCACGTGGCAGGAAGCAGCTCCGAGACCCAGACCCACGTCTTCCGGCTTCAACACCTTCATTTAGCACAAGGGCTGCAGGAGCCCAGGAGAGCTCAGGTTCCAGGGGCCTTGGGGGGAAAATACAGAATTGAGCTGGGCCCCAGAAAGCCCCAAAGGAGGCGAGGAGGCGGGGGTCTATCGGGATCCTCAATCCTGGGAGACCCTTGGGGCCAGGGGTCTCTAGGACACTCTGGAAAGACGTGGGGTCTTGATACTGGGCGGGAGGGAACCGCGCACGGGGAGAGCATGCAGGCGGGGCAGACGAGACTCCACGAGCCACGAGCACGCTGACATCCACGGCGGCACGGAGTGTGCCTGAGGCCGGTCGGGGTTGGGGCCTTTCCCCGGCCTTGGTCTGTCAGCACAGCAAGACCCACGCTTCCATTTGCACTGGGCATAACACACCAGCGGCCGGCAGATGACACAGGCTGAAGCACGGCCAGCAGAGGAGGCCATTCCCACCACCTCTCTGGGAGCTCAGGGCCTGCAGTCTGGGGGCCGAGGCCCTCCTTGGGCTTCCTGCCACCCCGCCAGGGGGAAAGAAATGTCTGCCACGTGCATTCACCACCCCGAGCGCCTTGCTCAGACCCACAGCGCGCACAGTACAGATGGGAACACTGGAGCTGCCCCACTGGGTGCAGTGAGCAGCCGATGTCACTCAGCAAATCGGGAGGGTCGGGGACTGAAAGCCACAGCTGGAGATTGTCTGGGCTCCAGCGGGGACCGGCTGTCAAGGCCGCCCTATGCCTAGAGCACCCTGGAGGCCTCTGAGGCCAGCAGGTGCCACCCCAGGAGCCAAGCCTGCGGGAGAGTGTGTGGGAGCGAGCCGAGGCCTAGGACAGTCACAGGTCACTGGGTCCGGGCCCCGCCCCACGTCCCAGCAGATCTGCCTCAGCTTCTGTGCAAGGCATCAGCATCCCCACCTTCCCCCAGCTCCCACCTGGCCCTTAGGCAGGGGAGCCATCGTTCTGTGCCTTGATTTCCCCTTTCACCCACCCTGTCTTCCAAGGACTCAGAAAAGGGGAGCATCTCCTAGGATGGGCTGGTGGGAAGCTGAGGGAAAGTGGCTGCAGCCCCAGACGCATGCCCAGGACAGCGAGACCCCGGCCCCCGCTCCTGCCTTGCAGTAATAAGCAGGACCCCTGACTGGGCTGCCGCAGCACAAGGCAGAGCAGGCAGGGAGTGGGGCCCACTGCGGCCACCACACAGGTTAGGGACACCCCACCTCGTAGCCATCCAGGGCCCTGCTCACCCCCGGCCTTAGCCTCCTGCCTGGAGGGTGCGATGACCACTGGGAACTGTCCAGCCACACCCTGCATCACTGACAGCCCAGTGCGGGCCGAACAGGAGGTGTCTGGGGTCAGCCGGTGACTCCCAAATGACAGAGGGCCCAGTGAGGACAAGGACCAGGAGGGACAGCAGGGGCAGGGGCCATGGAGTGGGAGGCTCCCCGAGGAAGGGCCACCCCATCCACCCTAGGGGAGGGCTCCCCGAGGAAGGGCCGGCAGAGGGATGGGAGACAGCAGGAGAGCGGCTGGCACCAGCCGGGAGGGGACAAGAAGCCGGGAGGGGACAAGAAGCCGGAGGCGGTGGGAGACAGCAGGAGAGCGGCTGGCACCAGCCGGGAATGGACAAGAAGCCGCAGGCGGCGGCTGGGCCCCTCCCCCACCCCCAGGCAGCGAAGAGTGACAGTGACTGAATCAGGGCAGCTGGGGCTGGGCACCGGGCGCTGGCCCCGGCACACAGGCGAATCAGGAGCAGGGGTTCGCATCGCTCCCCGTGTGTGGATGAAAGACAGAGGCTCGGAGGGGTCCCTTGTCCTGCTTCCTCAGCTGGAAATACTTCCCATCTACAAAATGGGGAGCCACGGGTCCCCCGTGGGGCGATTAGAAAGAAGCATGGGCACCGCACACAGATGCAAGTCCGCCCCGTCCGCCCTGGGGGAGGCGCTCAGTAAGGAGAGCCCCCATTTCTGGAGTCGGGGCTGCTGGCGGCTATGACAATGACGATGGCAACACATAATAACCGTCTACCTGTCGGAGCACGCTCCACAGCCCTGGGCACACAGTAGGTGCCTCAAATAATGACAGGGCCCCGGACCCTGCGCCTGAAGCAGACGCTTTCTCACGGTGATTAAACCTCCTGCCTCGTCCCCTCATCTGCAAAGCGGGGTAACGGTGCGAGGGGCCCTTTCGCTAGGCAGTCTGTGGGAGCCGGTGACTCCACCCCAGGCAGTTCTCACAGGGCCCCATGAGGCACTGGCTGTGACAAGCATCCTGGGGGCCCGAGCCCTCAAGAGGCGACTGTACGGGACGCCCCCAGGCTGGGCCAGCAGGGTCATATGCAAACACGCTTCGCTCACGGAGAGAAATGCACCCCCACACCATTTCCTCTCTGTGTCTCACAAGGAGGGGCCGCACCAGCCAGCGGGACACACACGTGCCCACACACAAGTCAGCAGAGCCAGCTGCCACCCCGGCTGCAGCTGCAGGGCCTCGTGACCCCTGCCACGCAGCCAGGCGGCCAAACGGGGCAGGACCAGGACTCCGACAGCCCTCTGCGAGCACCTGAGGACAGAGCATACAGGAGGTGCCCATAAATGACGACAAGGCAGAACCAAAGGCCCGCCCTCGCGCACCTAAAGGTGAAGGTGGAAAACAGGGCCCCACGCGGAGGGGGGCGGAGGGGTGAGTCCCTGCTCCCCCACCGGCAGGCTGTCCCCCATGGTAAGCAGAACCAGCAGCCTGGACCCCCAGATCGGGACTCAGAGACAGGACACATGCTGGGCCTCAGACCCTTAGGGCCACAAACGTCACCACGGTGAGGAAACACCAAGGCCAAGGATCAGGGAGGGGAGGGGCTGCGGCAGTGGCCCCCAGGAAGCGACCCCAATCCTAGAGCAAGGAAGGAGCCCAGCGGGGGGTGGGCTGTGAGAAAAGTGTACACAGCAGGCGCTCCATGTTTGCGCGCAAATTCCACTGAAGACTCGGAGGCAGACCCAGCTCAGCCTGGCCCGTCTCCCCGGTCCCAGCATTAAAGTGGCGGCGAAGAGACGACGAGGGGCCAGCGTCTCTGCCAAGGCGCCCACTCCCCCGTCGGACACAGCGAGCCACGCCAGCCCTGACTCCGAGGACAAAAGGGAACAGGGCAGGGACTCGGTGACAGAAGAAGGCCTCTTACCGTGTGGGGTCGGGCGATCTGCACGGGGTAGGAGACGCCGTGGGGCGGGTAGCGGGGCTCGGTGGCCCTCCACGTCTGGGCCACGGGCTGCGTGGAGCCTGACATGACGGTGGCCTCTGGGGTGAGCTCCTTCTCGACGGCCACCGATATTAAACGCCAGTCCTCGTCATCTGCTCGCAGGCCGCCCTGTCACAGATACCTGAGGGAAAACCAGAAAAGCAGCAACGTCAGCCGGGGGGCAGAGCTCCTCGGGGACCCCGGTGGCCCCCAGTCCCTTCTCCGGCGTGCAGGAACAAGAGCTGCCCTCTTCCGTGGCCACCGACGGCAAGGAGACGCGACACAGCGGGCAGGACCCGAGCCCCGGCCGGGCCAGCGGCTGCCCCACCAGCCACATCGGGGAGACGTGTGTCCCCCGCCACAACCTGGGTCCTCACTCAGCCAGCGGAGGAAGCCCAACCGCGCGGGCGTGCCCCACCACCCCAGCAGCTCCCAAGGCCCCTGGCCCCCCATCCCAGCCCCAGGCCTCGGCGGGAATCCGAGTCCCCGGGGAGAAGTGCCCCGAGGGCACCCGGAAGCTTGCGGGAGACACCTGAGGGCCGGGCCCGGGAGGCACACGCGCCCATCCCGGGCTGCCAGGGACACGAGCAGCTTGGGCAGGACGCAGGTCGCACACAGAGTGACCCCAAGCAAGTCCGGGCCTGCCTGGCCTGACGGGGGACCCTCTGCAGGAGGGTGACGCTGTAGTGTGACGGCAGAACAGGTGTGAGTTTGGGGGCGGGGGATTAGGAACCAAAGGCCACACTGAGGACACAGCCAAAGACATGGACAAGAGCCATGTGGACCCCCGGAGGTCCCTGGGGGGCGAGAGAGACCACCCGTGTCCACATTGGACAGAATCTCGAGAACTGTCCGCTGGCTTCACAGGTGGGAGGCTGAGACCCAGAAAGAACAGAGAACTCACCTCAAGGGGGTGAGGAGACCCTGGTCGGGAGCTGCCTTCACCCACAAATCTCTGGGGGTCCTCACCACTCCCAGAATCCTCCTCTCCCTTCCCCGCTGGCCAACGCTCTGCCCCCACCCCCGCCCGGGTCACAGCAGGCTCCTCGGCCCACACCCTCCTCCCTCGGCCACCCAGAAAAGGGGTGTCCATCAGGCCCCCACTGCGTGCATCTCCCATTCCCACACCCCCGGAGCCGAGAAAGACGCAAGATGGCACCAGGGCCAGCCCCTGGAGGTCCCCACGCGGCCTCCTGCGATCAGGTAAATAGAAGGTACCCCAGCTTCCTGCAGTGGCATCCCTCATCGCCCCGCCCCCACGAACAGCTGTCCTCCACGGGTGGCCGTCCTGGCCCTCCACTGCCTGCTGGAAGTCTAACGTGGACAGGCGCTGGGGGGGGACTGAGATCATGGCGGTCAGAGGGGTGAGGCCCTGACTGCACCCCTGTACCCACCCCGCTCTTCTGCTCCTTGACTTGACTTTCCAGAACTATCTTTACTCCCCAGGCACCAGGATGGTCACGTGATCGAGGGCTGGTCAATCAGACTCCTGCTTCCCCTGGGCCAGTGACTGGTTTGAGAACGGGCATGGGACCCTATCTGAGCCAGTGAGAGTCAGCCGTGGGCCTTCTGCGGCCAGAACCAGGAACCGGCTCTCTGCTGGGTGTCTCAGCTGGGAGGACGAGAGCCTGGAGCCCCTGGGGACCACGCGGGACGGGAGCCTGCCCGAGAACAATGCCGACGGGCGGGAAGGCAGAGCTGGAAGCCGGAGGGGCACGTTCGGGTGGCGACGATGGCCGTGCCTGAAGGCAAATCAAAGCCCGCGTCTTTGTTTAAAGGAGCTGGGTGCTGGTATTTCGCCTTCACCAGCCCAACCAGAGTCTCTGTCACTTGCCACCAAAGTTCTGAGTGACGCAGGGAAGGAAGCAGTCACAGAGGGGGCAGTCCTTCAGCGTGGGCCGTCAATCTTTCTGACCCCGAAAAGCCGAAGAAGTCCAGAGCCAAGACCGTCACACCTGCAACCAGCCCAGGAAGCCACCCCATGGGCTTCACCATTGAGACAGGGCGAGCCACGTGCCGGGGGACAAGCCCGGCTCGGCCAGCAGGAGCTGCTGCGACCTTCACTGTCCCGTCACCGCGGGGCCCAGTCCTAGGATGCGGGAGGGGGAAGGGCTGCCGCACCAATTCCTACCAGGAGCACGGTGGCCACTGTCCTGCAGCTGGGGACAGGGGACTGGCCCTGGGAGAGCGGGCAGGCGCGGCCACCAGTGCTGGATCCGGTTTCAGAATTCCCCTGGTGCCCGCTGGTCTCACACCCCGCAGACTCCAGCCGTCTGCAGCAGAAGAGCCCGTTCCATTCTGCCCTCCCGCCGGGTTTTAAACAGCTGCCCACTGGGCCCCTGCAGGGCCACAGGGCCAGAGACAGGGGGCCAGGGCCACGGGGCCAGGGCCACAGGGCCTCCAGGGCAGCACGGGCCACTTCTGAAGTCTCTTTGATTCTGTGCTGCATAAAGTGGTGGCCGTCTTTTCTAACTTCGTTTGCCCAACCAAATGCTGGCTGGGGACGGCAGGCTTCTGCCACATGCTCGCTGCATGCAGGCTCCAGAAACTGGGGAGGTGACGCCTTTCCAAGCAGCCCTGGAGAACCCTCGGCCACATCCCCACCCTCAAGGCCCGCGCCTGGCTGGCCTCCCACTCCCTCAAAACTCACAGGGTGTCCACTGCTGAGCTGGGGGCTGAAGCCCGGCCGGCCCACCTGTCACGGTTTCGGCCCACCGGCTCCCTGGTCCAGTGTCCTCACAGGCAGGTTGTCCCCAAAGCTGGAGGACTGTGAGGACCTCAAGCTCCCTCGTTCGCCACGAGCTTATTTAAATAAACCCCAATATCCACCCCTCCCAACCTCAGCCACGTCTGTTGCCAATTCAAACAAATTTATATAGGAAAATAGTTTGGCAGCTCCTCAGCATGCTAAACAGAGTTACCATATGACCCAACAATTCCACTCCCAGGCACATGCCCAAAGGAACCGAAAAGAGGGACTCGAATAAATGTCACAGCAGCACGATTCACAGCGGCCGCAGGCAGAAGCGACCCAAACGCCCCTCAGCCGACGAATGAACGGACGAGCTGTGCTCCAGCCACACCACGGAGCAGGGTCCTCCCCAACCAGGGGCGAAGCACCGGCGCACGCTGAGGCATGGGGGACCCCGAACACACGACTCGGGGAAGAAGCCGGACACGGAAGGCCACACAGTATGTGTGACTCCGTGTATCCAAAACAGGCAAATCCACAGCAGCAGGAAGCAGAGTAGGGCTGCGGGGGCCGGGGGTACAGATGGGGCCACGTAGGGATGAATGTCATTCCAGGGGCCGTGGGGAGCCACCGCCGGTGGCTGACGGAAGAGTAAAGGGTCACGGTGTTTGACAAGCCGGATGTGGAAAGCAACGGTGGCCCCCACCGGGAGGCCTAGGAGACGATGCTGGGGGGTCTGGGGCAGCAGTGACCGAGAAGTGGCAGATGGCGGGACGGCCTTACAGACAGCCTGCCATGTGGTGACCAGGGCCAAGTCGCCCCTGGGGACGAGAGCCCAGCGTTCCCCTCCCTGGGCACGCTGCCCCATGGCCCTGCGCCTCACCGTCCTCGGCCGCCAGGAAGCATGCCTGTGAAGCACGGCGCGTGTCTGGTAAACAGCAGGTGCTCAACGAGGCAAATTCGGCGAGGTCAGGGCTCCAGGACAAAGGACGGCGCTTCAGTGAGGTCAAAGACTTGCCTGGCCTGGTGGCATAGGACGCTTCTGGGCCCAAGCCCTAAGCAGGCCTTGCACATCCAAGGCACAGGCCACGGCACCATGGAGCCTGCGCTGTCACCTCAAACTCCAGGCAGGGCCGGGGGTGGGGGTCCCCACACGGTCCACAGCAGGGGCGCCCCACGAATGGACTCCCATGCACACCTTGGGGGCGGCACACAGCAGGGGCCACTCAGCTGCCCACGGGACAGCCTCACAAGTTACAGGTCCAGCATGGCAGTACCCCACAAATCTGCTACCCCGAGTCCCGTTCCCATCCACTGTGTGGCTTTGCTAAGGCTTCCGACACTGCCCAGGCTCTGATTTCTCGTCCACCTTACTCTCCGCTGCACCCCGGGGCCAGTCACAGCGCCCGGCACACAGCAGGTACTCAGTGAATGACCCTGTTCAGCAGAGGCGGTCAGAGCCCCCGACACGTGTCCACCCTAGTCCACTGGGCAGAGGCCCTTCCGGCTGGGGAGGGGGCTCCCAGCCCCATGTTCCCCTCCAGCCCAGGGAGGACTGCCGAGGCCTCACCGAGACACATTCCACGGATTTTCCGTGTCCTGGGCAGCCTGGTTCGGACCTGAGGGGCAGGGGAATTACAGCCAGCTGTGGCTGGGACGTTTCAGGGGTGGGGGGACAGGGGGGCTTGTTCAGGCGACAGAACTGCTAAAATCTGCTGGGAGCCTTCAGACCTGAGCCCGCACCGCAGAGATGAGGGGGCCCATCTGTGCCACGCGAGCCCTGTGATTTCCTTGAAACGAAGGGGCAGCGACATTGGAACTTGTGGTGAGCGGGGGGAGCCTCAGAATTAAAAACCAGCTGCCAGGCAGGACGGAAGCCCCCGGCACATGCACCTACACACGCGTGTGCATGCAGGAGGTCTGGGCCCCACAGAGGGGACACGGCTGTTACACCCCCACCCCCAACGAGCCTGCCACGGTGCAGGCAGACAGTGCCCTGGGAACCGGTGGGCAGGGACCGCCGGCCCCACCGGCCCCTCTCAGCACTGTCTCTTCAGCACCTAGGACTGCATCTGACGTAGGGTAGCTGCTCCATGTTTGAGTGACTGCTGGATCCCCAGGGGCGCAGCGCCTGGCGCACAGTAGGTGTACTCGTTTCCTGCAGCTGCTGTGACGCACGGGCTGAAAGCGACAGGAATTTGTTCTCTCACTGCTCAGGAGGCCGGAACTGCAAAATCAAGGTGCGGGCAGGGCCGTGCTCCCTCTGGAGGCCCCGGGGAGGAGGCTGCCTTGTCCGTGCCAGCTCCCAGCGGCCCCGGGGTCCCCTGACCTGTGGTAGCCTCAGCCTCTGTGGTCAGGGGGCCTTTTTTCCTCTGCATCTCTGTGTCTGCAGTGTGGAGTTGCCCTATCCTCAAGGACACCAGTCATCCCACTCCACTCCAGGGCCACCT